ATTTCTTCCTCTGTCAGAAGCTGAAATCCATGGTCTCATTCTTCCAGCTGAAGCCAATCTTTGATATTTTCTTGCATACATTGAGCCCCTCCAACTGTCTTCAACATAGTCTCAAAGTCCTCTTGCTCCTAGATCCAATCTCCCTCTTAATGCATGAAAACAATTGTGAACAGAATTTTTCATATCCCCATAACCGAATCGAGTGTAGCCGGATTATCGAGGGTCTACTTTAACTTAAAATCGCAAAATTTGAAAAATTAGATACACGATGGTAATTTGGGGGCTTCCAAATTAAGGGCTTTAATTCTGATTAATTTAAATCAGGAGCGCTGCATGAAAAGCACGCAGTCTTCAGGCTCAATTTATGGGACACCTTCACGAGACAGGGCTATTTATGAGAACTACACAATCACACAGATACACTGTGTGGACAGAATGCACAGTTCAGATCGCACCTCACAGAAAACGCAGTACGTCTCCGCTACAAAGCCCAACCGGTTAATGCTGTTTAGGGAGACAGTCACTGTTTACTGTGAGAACCATACGGAACACACAAATACACTGTGTGGGCAGAATGCAGAGTTCAGTTCGTACGTCACAAGAAACACATTACGTCTCCGCTACAAAGCCCAACCGGTTAATGCTGTTTAGGGAAACAGTCGCTGTTTACTGTGAGAACCATACGGAACACACAAATACACTGTGTGGGCAGAATGCAGAGTTTCAGTATGTTAAAGCAGGTGGTACAGACAGTAACCACTATGCGCCGAAAGAATAAAACGGTCACCATTCCAACCAGCACACTCTTTTCTCATTGTAGCGGCTAAACTCGATTGGGACGGAACATCAGAGCTTCCCAGACTTCTATTTCCATTTCCGAATGACCAGCTAATCTCAATCATTTTAAAGTGAAAAATGGGGAGACATGTATATCGTACAGAACTGCAAATTAGTTGGGACCACAATTTCATGTCGTCTAGACATAAACAAAAGACAGACCCGCCAATAATCATCATCGTAACTTGCTCCCATTACCACTGCGCCCCGTGGACCGGTGCACAACGAACCGACTGCATTATTAGTTCCAGGGACCCCAAAAAAATAGAATTTCTTATGCCTTTATTACAGTAATTCTCCATTAACCACATCCCTTCCCTCCGAGCTTTATCACGGCTTATTATTAGTCACCAATTACATATCTATATGATGATGCCTCGTCGAAGAGGAATAAAATTACGTCAGACAGTTGTTGAGGCAACTTTTTGGAAGCAATTACGAATTCCCGTTGAAATTTTCACTGACGTCCAAGCCAGAGCACAAAAAGCAACGAGGCTGTGGACAATGAGGAGCGAGAGATATTAAATATTCGTTCAGCAACAAATAATAAAAATAAATAATGATCTGGTAGTGAAAACAGGGGAATGCTTAAAAATGGCAGACCTCAGATTCGATACTATTACGAGAACAAAAGGCAGGCTTAATTTAGATGGTTATATTGTCACGAAATATGTGTGACTATAGACGGGGTGTGGATTGGATACTGAATTTATTAAATACTTATATACACGACACGTAAGTACAAGTAATTACAGAGCAATTCACCTCAGCACCCGCTATGCGTTACTATATGAAAGCCTGCTACGAAACTCCTTGCATTTGCCCCCACACACTGTTTCTCTCTCTCATGCGATTCTCAAAATAAAAGCAGATTATTTCCTTCAGCAGGATTAACAAATCGAACTTCGTAAGAGGGTCGGTGTGTTTCTGTGAGGCCTATATCTGAACTTCGTGCTTACATGGGTCAATAAGTTAGTGAAGGCAAGGCAGCAGCCACTTCACGGCCGGTATCCACTGGAGAGGTGGCTGAGAGGACCCCAGTGCCGGTCGGGAGAAGAAAAATTTCCTGTCCGTTCTGGAAATCGAACCCCGGTACCTTGCTTGTCTACCCCGTCGCCTACTCATTACATCGACTGCCCCATATGGTTACTATATGTACCGGCATCTTTATTATTAAGTACATTCTGCCCAGAGTATATTTCTGTTCTGTATGATTCTCAAAAATAAACAGCGACTGTTTCCCTAAACAGCATTAACCGGTTGGGCTTTGTAGCTGAGAAGTAATGTGTTTCCTGTGAGGTACGTACTGCACTCTGCATTCTCCCCACAGTGTATTTATGTGTTCCGTATGGTTCTCACAAAAACAGCGATTATTTCCCTAAATAGCATTAACCGGTTGGTCTCTGTAGCAGAGGCGTAATGTGTTTCCTGTGAGGTACGGACTGAACGCTGCATTCTGCCCACACAGTGTATTTGTGTGTTCTGTATGGTTCTCACAATAAACAGCGACTGTTTCCCTAAACAGCATTAACCGGTTGGGCTCTGTAGCGGAGACGTAATGTGTTTCCTGTGAGGTACGAACTGAACACTGCATTCTGCCCACACAGAGGATTTGTGTGTTCCATATAAAACAAAAAAAAAATTTAAAAATCCGATCATATGCTCTATCTTTACCAGAAGGACAAGCGGGCACTGCCTGGGAACCTTCAAAATCGGAGATATAGTTTCTAACCCCCCCCCTTCTTCTCTCTCTCTCTCTCTCTCTCTGCCCCCACACGGTGTATTTGTGTGTTCCGTATGGTTCTCACAGTAAACAGCGACTGTTTCCCTAAACAGAATTAACCGGTTGGGCTCTGTAGCGGAGATGTAATGTGTTTCCTGTGAGGTACGAACTGGATTTATAAACAGGTCTGAGGATGAATGTGGTGCCTCGGTGGTTTAATAAAAAAAATCGTAACAGGATCACGCTTATCAACGTTTAGGCGGAATGTGCTTCCTCCTTCTTCAGGGTAGAAACGATCACTCTTCTAATTCTATCTGTATGATGGGAATTACATGCTAGTACACGACGTCATATCCCAGAAGACAGCCTCATGAGAACGTCAAATCTGACGAAAGGTATTACCTAACGTTAAAGTGGTACACATAATTACCACTGCCCTATAATGCGTTTGAAGGTGTAATTCGGATTGACGTACTGTAGTCGGGCCGATGACATGCCTGAGAGTGTGAATGGTGACTTAGGAATTTGACCTAAAGAGAGCCGAATAAATCAATAGACGCAGCAGCGTTCGCGTCTGGTCGCGTCGCGCCGTGACAGCTGCCTGGCGCCGGCCGCCCTTGCTCACACGCAGTATATCCTTCGGATCAGCTCCCGGAGAGGCCGGCCATCATGAAGCAAACCGGAAAGTGGCCCGACAATGATGAGAACGTCCCGCCACCAGCTGTAACACTTATTTAGGGCCGCGCCATAGCTCAAGCGGTTAGTCGCCGGCTTCCCACCGCAGCGGCCCGGGTTCGATCCCGGGTCTGGTCAAGTGGGATTTGTGTTGGACAAAGTGGCGCTGGGGGCAGGTTTTCTCCGAGTACTTCGGTTTCCCATGCCAATCTTCATTCCACCAATTGCTCCACAATCACCCTCACCTATCATCTTGGGCTGGTACAGCAGGCCAGAAGCGGCCGCAGTACAAGAGACTTAGTCCCACCCCACTAGCAATAAAAAAAACCTTTATTTAACGACGCTTGTCCCTAATATTTACGTTCCTGGAGAGAGTTCTTATAGCTAAATTTCCTAACACGAATCTCCATTTGACCCCGCGGAAATCCCGCCGGCACCCATTGGATAAAAGGCTCGGTGGGTCCCAAAGCCGGTCAGGAAGTTCTGTAGAAAAAACAATGTTTTCTTTCCCTATCAGGATTCGAACCCCAGCCCTCCAAGCCCGTCGCTATATCGACTGAGCTATCTCGAATCCCTATACGATAACATGTAACTCAGTCCAGCACAGAAGCTACACAGGATTGTTATCGCCGTATTTGTTTCGGCTACTGCACACCTTGACAACAGTGGATTTCACAGTTCAGGCATTCTCTACTCGGTCCGACGCAAGAGACACGACATCGACAGAGCACCGACATGTACGTTATAATTTTGCACAAAGAACTTGGTACGGGAACGTCAGTTTCGAGCACGAAAATTATCAATGACCTGAACAGTGCTCACTAGCCAGAATGAACGCAAACGAATTTGCTGATTCGCGTCAGTTGCATAATTCGGAGAAACCATCCGAGCGCCTCTCGAGAAGTGAGTTTAATTTTGATGAATTTAAATTGGGAGGCCTGCACGAGAAGCACGCAATACCGACTGAAAACTTAGGAGCTATCTCAGCATTTAAGAATTCAGTTCGTACCTCACAGGAAACACATTACGTCTCCGCTACAAAGCCCAACCGGTTAATGCAGTTTAGGGAAACAGTCGCTGTTTACTGTGAGAACCATAAGAGCACACAAATACACCGTGTGGGCAGAATGCAGAGTTTTGGTTGTGTTAAAGCAGGTGGTACATAAAGTAACCACTGGGATTTAAAGGTTAATCAACTTCTTTAAAATCACATTCACGTTTAATTTAACCTAGATATTTCATTTGCTGTGCTCAGAATTCCTACACGAAATCAATTATGAGATCTCACACAAAACGTCACATTTCTTGTCGCACAAACGAACTATTTCATCTCACAACATAGTTAACATAACCAACTAGGCTGGACGTCTCACATTGGTCAAAGTAAGCCAATGGCTTTAAGGCCGCGCCGTAGCTCAAGCGGTTAGTCGCTGACTTCCCATCGCGGCGGCCCGGGTTCGATCCCGGGTCTGGTCAAGTGGGATTTGTGGTGGATAAAGTAGCGCTGGGGCAAGTTTTCTCCGAGTACTTCGGTTTCCCCTGCCAATCTTCATTCCACCAATTGCTCCACAATCACCCTCACCTATCATCTGGGGCTCGTACAATAGGCCAGAAGTGGCCGCAATACAAGGGACTTGGTCCCACCCCACTAGCAATGTCTTAATATTCATAATAGTACTGCATTTCATGGTAGGATGCGAATGCTGTTTCTCTGACTTAGAAGAACAAGGAACGCACGGCCGTCCATGACGACGACTTGACTTACCTTCTCCATTGGTGGTGAGGGACCCGTGGCACTGCACTGCTGGGCACTGTCCTTCGCTTGGTGCTCTGTCTGAAACAAAGAACGCCAACCTGTGAGCACGCCTTAAAGCTATGCATGGCGCGTGGCGATACACACTTAGCTACAATCTGAAGGGCACAAGTTCTTCTGGGTTGCAATGCCCCATAGCTCCGAGGGAGCCCGATAATTCCAGAGGAACATCTTATCTACATCTCAGCGTCAGATTTTCAGGATGCCCCTTTGAGGCGCCCATGGACTAATCACTATGTTTTCTAAACATATCGTGCTCCACGGACTGAAAAACAGAGTCCAGACACGATTATAGATCGAAAACATATGGGTTCTTAGAGAGCACGAATATAGTATAGTGCCAACGGCTAAAAATATACACAAGTGTCGTATTATTAAGAACGATGTTCTACAGAGGTGACTGCCGCTTTGCGTGTGACTAACAGCGTCGGATGGTAGAATAACTGGTAAATGAAGAAATCAGAAAGGATCAGGAAGGCATCGGTCGTGGCCTAACCCAGGTACTTATCACGACACTTACCTGGAGTGACTGAGACAAATCAAGAAAAAACTTCAGTCAGAATAACCGGTGTCGCGGCCGGGATTCGAGCCAATTGTCATCATGCGTTACCGTTAGCAGACTGGTCTTTCAAATCGAGACGCAGTTTCCTGTCAGACAGAGAGTGAATTTCTAAATATTAGCCCCCTTACTGGCCCCAAAGGGGCGAGCCAGAGCCAGCTTACTCTGCCTGCTAGGGCTGCCTGGGTGAAACACGCGAAATCGCAACCGTTTTAACGTAACAGGTACTCTTCGGCGCGGAAAGAACTACAACAGCCAGAAGGAAATATGAAAAGAATTACAGCAGACAGAAGGTCGCACGGAGAGAACTACAGTAGTCAGAAGAAAATACGGAAGGAACTACAGGAGCCACAAGGAAACACGGAAAGAACTACAACAGCCAAAACTAAATACGGAAAGAATTACAGTAGACAGAAGGACCTACAGAAACAACTACAGGAGCCAAAAGGAAATACAAAAGGAACTACAGGAACCACAATATACGAAGGTATAATTTTGCCTGTGGTTCTGTATGGGTGTGAAACTTGGGCTCTGACATTGAGGGAGGAACACAGACTGAGGGTGTTTGAGAACAGGGTGCTGGGGAGAATATTTGAACTGAAGAGAGATGAAGTGACGGGAGGTTGGAGAAAACTGCATAATGAGGAGCTTCATAACTTGTACTCTTCTCCGAGTATAATTACAATGACCAAATCAAGGAGGATGAGATGGGCAGGGCATGTAGCACGAATGGGAGAGGAGGAATGCATATAGGATACTGGTGGAAAAGCCAGAAGGAAAGAAACCTCTAGCAAGACCAAGAATTAGGTGGGTGGATAATATTAAAATGGATCTTTGAGAAACAGGATTGATCTGGCTCAGGATAGGTGGAGGGTTCTTGAGAACACAGTAATGAACCTTCGGGTACCATAAAATGCTGGGAAGTTCTTGAATAGGTGCACAACTGCCGGCTTCCCAAGAAGGGCTCCGTTTCATGGAGTTACGGACATTACTTTCGGTAGTCTTAGAATTCTATTCACATTTACGTGCTGTTTCAAATGTATTCCTTTACCACTTACGGGTTATAACGCAGTGTAAAGTAAGATTTAACTAATTTAGAACTACGCCATGAAGACGTATGGGGAGTGGCTATATAAATCCACATTTTCTTGCCCTCGGCTCTAGTTATGTGTGAGTGCTCAGCTTCACGTCCCTGCCGCTTTACCCACGAACTCATTGCATAGGAGGCTGGGTAGGCACCAGAGCCGCTCTGGACGCTGCGGAGAAGAGAAAATTTTTGACCCTACCGGGACTCGAATTTCAACCCCTCGGTTGTCGAACCCATAGCCAGTTGCTACATCAACTCCGCTATCCCGGCTCCATGTACTCCGTTAAAATTCAACCGACGTTTCGGTGGAATATATTCTCTCCATCTTCAGGAAGATACCAGAGTGAAAGCAGGTGGAAACCAGAGCTACGGGGTTATACCCCAAAAGACAGTAACAATTCATAACCACCGTTGTCATAGCTTCAAATCTTACATACTCCTATCATGTTCTCAAGTATGTAGCAGGCCGCAGACTTTTACAAGTTTTTAATTTTCCGCGCACTTATCTTAGCTCTGGTTATGCAAGCTTCTGCTTAAAGCAGAAACAAATCACAAGTGACTCTTGACGTACGTCTAACACATGCTCTCAACCAAACATCGCGTGTTACTTCAAGCTTCCAAACGCGCTACTTTATCTCAGTGGCCTGGCCTCTACAGCCGTGCATTTACATACGGTAAAGAAACAATAGTGAATTCAATTTTACTGTAGATACTCAAAGATTTCCCGTGACTTTAGGGGGAGGGGGCCGATTTCTGAAGTCATTTTGGGTGAAAATGTTACATCCACACGTACCCTATTGTCAGCTGTTTCGGAGGTGTGTGTGTGTTAGATGTGTAGTTTGCATGATTTGTGTGGTTCTCACACATTTCGTTATGACGAGAACCTTCTTCTGGGACACAACAGCGCGTAGCACGTTGCAAGTCAACCGAAGTTTCGGAAGAATGAGACGAGCAAGAAAGCAGGTGTGAAGAGCGATTAATGTTAAGACTTTCAGGAGTTAGCCAAGTGACGAACACCCGTCCAAGAGAGGAACAAAATATTTAAGGATATACTTTGTAAACTGGGTCTAGCCCATACTGCTGGATGAGTCGGACGTTCATTAAAATAAGACTACGGAATTCAGTTACTAATAAATACACTGCTTGTCCGTTACAAACAACAGCCAGTTAACCCTATAAAGTCCGCTTTAACACATCGAACTTCTGCGTTATGGCCACAGACTGCATGCGTGTTCCGTATGGTTCCCTCAGTAAACAGAAACTGCTTCCCTGAACAGCATTAACCGGTTGGGCTTTGTAGCGGAGACGTAATGTGTTTCCTGTGAGGTACGGACTGAACTCTGCATTCTGCCCACACAGTGTATTTGTGTGTTCCATATGGTTCTCACGATAAACAGCGACTGTTTCCCTACACAGCATTAAACGGTTGGGCATTGTAGCGCTGATGTAATGTGTTTCCTGTGAGGTACGAACTGAATCTTTATATACTACTCAGGAGAAATTCAGTTTTTAAAGTCAGTGTTATGTTACGATCGGAGGTTAGTCGGTCAGTCTGTCTTGGTATCATGCACCCATCTGGGGCCCCAAGACAAAACTTTTATAACTGTCAGAGACAGTTGCAGGTTTGCTCTTGTGGGGCGCCCTCTCTAACGAGATGACGGGTACGTCGTTTACTGCTGCTGCTGGTGCGTTATTCTGGCCATCATGGGACACTTCATTGTTAAGTCAAACAGTTACAAGTCTGCTGCAAGGCTTAACGTCGTTTTGATATTGATTAGCGGCAGGATCAAGCACTGTTATTTTCGTAGTGTTCAAACCGGGCCAAACACTAGCCAAACGATTCCGTCTACTTCCTAAACGTCGGGACTGTGTCCAGAACGAGGCCAAATTACAACGAAGTTCTTCCTTCTAATTTCTAAGCGTCAGAACACGTGCCCTGCTTCTAAATTTTGACACCATGATGAAGTCTTCTTGCTTCCTACGGAGTCCCTCCTGATTCATATTTCCAAGGGAATGTCTCCGCCAACATAAAAAAAGACCGAAAGCCGCGTCGTCACTAAAAGAGCTCGTTGCAGGCTGAGGGTAACACAAGTGTCTCTCTTGTGACGAAGGTGCGGCCTCTGTACATGTTTGTTTGCTGCATACAAGATGGCCTTCCTGCCGGTCTGCAGCCAAGGTCACTAGCTAGGCAAGCACAAGACGTGCCAATGCATTATGCTGAAAAACATGTGGCACCATCTCCGCATTTCAAATAATAATAATAATAATAATAATAATAATAACAATAACAACAACACCGAAGAGGCTTGTTTACACGCAACGTTCTAGAACTGTATTCGGAAACTGCACCGTTCGAATCCCGAACAGGGCACCTGCTCTCTAGATGTATTTCGTGGTTTTCCTCATTATCCTCAGGCATATACTCCGTTAGTATCCCGATTAGGCCAGGACGGTTTCCTTCCAAATCCTTTTCAATTCATCAGCAATCCCATTATCCGAACACAGCGCTAACGTTGTACACTTTTGCAGGACGTGTGGTTCTCACACCGGTGGCTAATGAAGGACACGAACTTCTTGGATACAACGCCGTGTAGCCCGCTGAAAAGTCAACCTGCGTTTCGGAGGGGCATATCACCTCCATCTTCAGGCTTGAATAAGCCGAGCAAGACATCAGCGTGAAAACAGGTGGCTTTACACGACGTTACATTCCTAAGTTCCTACTCCTGTCGGATTTTATTCGAGATGATGACTTTTGTGGGGTTTTTTTTTTCGGCCGCTACTGGTAAATGCCTAGATTATGCCACGGCCGTTTGCTTCCAAATTCATTCCAATTCGTCCTACGATTCGATGATATACAGCGTGAAATAACGACAGCGGCGTTAACTTGAGAATCCGCCATTTTATATTGTCAAAACTGATCTTCTTTGGTGGGTAAATAACACATACAAAACCTCCCGAAGAACTTCAAAAAACGTGCCTGACTATAGATCACTCTTTGTCGGATAGAGGAATTTCTAATCTTTTATAAGAATGTGCTACATAAGGCCGGATGGGCACTGCCTAGGCCTTTTTTGTATTTACAATAATTTTTTCCGCAATAAAAAATCTAATCTTTATGGTTTGCATCCTGCTGTGCATTAGATAAAAGCGTAAATGGGGATAGCAACACAACGTAAATATCTTCAGATGAAGATGAAAACAGATACTGGCGCATCAACATTACTTGTTATGTAAAGGTGATGATGCTACATGTATCGACCTTTGCTAGGTCATCATCAGGCGTTACAAGAAAATCAAACAAAGTTCTTGAATTGTCTCAATATGGATCCGTATGATGATTTGTTGTCACCATTATCATTAGGAAATCCACATTTT